AAGATAACATCAGATCCTCTGGAACTGAAGTTAAGGACAGTGTTAGACACCCTATGGGTGCTGGGAAACAAACTTGGGTTCTCTGGAACAGCAATAAGTGTTCTTAATCCCTGAGCCATCGCCCCGGCCAATAAATAAATTTTTTATTAAAAAAAAGAATTATATAAAAAAAAGAATTATAAGGAAGAAAGTAGACTCAGAGGTAAGCTCCATCAGTGTGGCTGTCTGGGTAAGTATTTAATAGCCAATATACCTCGTTTATAAAATAGTCTTTTATCTGAAAATGGGAGATTATTTTCACTACCTTGCTGAAGTTGCACATGGTGATGTTCAAAAAGAAAAAAGTAAGACATCCAAGCCTGGTGGCGCATGCCTTTACTCCCAGCATTTGGGAGGCAGAGGAAGGTGGATCTCTGTGAGTTGGAGGCCAGCTTGGCCTACATAGTGAGTTCCAGGTCAGCTGGGGCAATAGGGAGACTCTGTCTCAAAAAGACAAAAAAAAAAATAGACAATTCCCAAGACTTTACAGTGGCACATATGACAGAAGCAAAAAAGAGATGCAAGACCATAGTACATTCCGGGGCAGCCAGGGCTATATGGTGAGACCTTGTTTGAGAGACAGACAGAGACTGACAGACGGAAACAGAGTGAGAGCAAGAACAGGAGGTGGGAGGGAGGGAGGGAGAGGAGGAGGGAGGGAGGGAGGGAGGGAGGGAAGGAGGGAGGGAGGAGGAGGAGGAGGAGGGAGCGGGGGTGGGGCGCGCAGACCGTTCCTGCGGGAGACTGGAAGAGATTTTGAAAGGTCATCTTGTCCTTCCCCCAGCCTCCAAGCCGCGCTGCCCCTCCCACCCTGGACCCGGACATACCAGGGAAGGAGTTGGCTCTGCCGCCGCTTCTGCCCCAACATGCATAGACTCGGGAAGTTCTTCCTGGGGTTTTATCTCAAAGCCTCTCCCTTACAATTTGTCTCTCTTTGGGGGGAGGAGGGGCGATTATAGAGATAGTTAATGTCTGCCGTACAAGAAACATTATTAAAGTTACTCTTCCGTCTTTTCCGTTCTTGATAAACAGTTCTCGCTCCTTGCTCTCGAAATCTATTTTCCATTCTTTAATACACTTTAATGGCTCTTCAATACAACAAATATTTACTGAGTGCTTACCAAGTACCAGGCGCAGTGCTCAGCGCTGTGAGGGATGCACAGAAGAGGGGCATGTGCTATTTTCCCTCGACGGGATTACAGTCTATAAACAGTGGCTGCACGCTAGTAAGTACTATACTAAGATTTCGCCAATATTTACTGGATGCTTGCTCACATATTTAACAGCATGGGATCGTTCCAGTAACCCTCTCTATTTATGGGTAGGAAAAACGAGGTGTGGGGTCTCTTCTTCTTCTGGGTTGCAACTCACAGAGCATCTCAACCTTGACATTAAATAAAATTATCTTGGGGACTGGTGGGGGGGGGGGCGCGAAACAGACACAACAGCTCTCTGGATCCCTTTAGAATGTGATTCCCACTACTCGGGAAATTGGAGTGGATGCAGTGCTCCTGTGACTTTGGCCCGGCACTGAGTAGGGCAGAAGTGGCTTATAAGGAATGCCACTTTGTTCCCTTTCTACCAGGACTAACTCCTAGAGATCTGGCTTATTTTCTTCCATGACCAATGATTATAATAATAGCCTCCTATTTATGTGGTAGGTGCTGGGCTAAGTACATGCATATTCATTTTCTCTTAATGCTCAGGGCAACCCCTTGAGATTGCTATTAATTTCCCTTTACAGATAAGGAAAGATTAAGCAACTTGGCCAAGGTCAGCCAGATAGATCTGGGACTTTAGCTCAGGTCTCCTCTTCAGACCTCAGGCTCTGCACCAAGACAGGCCTTTCATATTATAAACCTTTTTTTTTTTTTTTTTTGAGATAAGGTCTCACCATGTACCCCCTGCTGACCTGGAACTCACTATGTAAACCAGGGTGGCCTCCCCAGTACAGGGATCAAAGGTGTGCAGGAGCACACCTGGCTCGGTCCTATATTTGATCTGTGAAATATACATTAGGGTCAGCTTGTTCTCCTTAGTGTAGAAATAAATGTCCTCATCATAGTGACACACGCCTTTAATCCCAGCACTCAAGAGGCAGAGGCAGACAGTCTCTGTGAGTTCAAAGGCAGCCTGGTCTACTCAGAGTTCCAGAGCAGCTGGGGCTACAGGGAGACCCTGTCTCAAAAGGAAAGTCCTCACCTTAGTTTCTGATTAGCCCTTTAGTATATGGGCACATCTGTATGACCTTACCAGCATCATTCATGGTTATTAGGTACTGCTCACCCTGGAATCAACCACCTTTCATGGACATATTGTTAGCTATGTTTTATCAGTGAATAAACTGGAGTTCAAAAAGGTAAAACAATGCCACAATAATGTATTCAAGGTCACCAACCGGGAAAATGGCAGAGCTGAGATTCTAGTCCAGGCTACAAGGCACCTCCTCTTTCAGAAACACTGTTGATATAGTATGCGTTCCAAGACTGACCTTTTGAGCACCATCTAGGTGTATCTTATCACTGAGTCAGAAACAATTCCCACTACAAACAGGGCTTTCCCTTCTTTTAGGCAATGTCCAATTCAAAAAAGGGCTGGAGATGTAGCTCAGTGGTAGAGGGCTTGCCTGGCATTCACAAAGCCCTGAGACTGATCACCAGTACTGCCCCCTAAAAAAGAAGGCTTTGGGAGAAGAAATGGCCCAGAAAAGCCAGGGGAATTAAAACTTACCTAGTCTGGAAACAGAGCTCCGAGCAGTAGTGAGCAATCTGGAGAATAGTAGTACAGTAATGTGGAATCTCACTAGGAGGCAGAACAAGTAATTTGAGGAGGAAGCCAAAGAAAGGACAGGTTGGATGGGAATAAGGGAAAACTAAGGTCTATGGTGAGTATGGCCATAGGGATGAGGTAAGTGAACCCTTCAGAAGCTGGGTAGAAATGGGGCAGTGGGGAGTGGGAACAGTGAGGCTCGGCTGGGTAGCTTCTGGAGCGAACTGAGACAGCTGGCTTCTCAAGGCCACTCCCTGGATCCTTAGGGCCTCACAGCAACCTTCGCTCCACCACACCTCAACCCTGACAGCCTTTCTGTGCCAGGACAGGTTTTGCTGTCTTCTCTGAGCTACAACCCCCTAAGAAGAACCAGAACCCACGTGGGTTCTAACCCTTTGGGGCAGCTGCTTCAGACTAGGTAGGTTCAGACTTCTAGGTCCTGGGCCTCAGGTCTGGATTGGGAATGGGCAGACGGGTAACTGAAAGAGATGCTGCATGTCCCATTTCCTGAAAGGGCCCATAATGATTTTTCCAACCCAGAAACGACTACTCTCTTGTAGTCAAAGGAACCATGGATCATATTGCTGATCAGCCAAGACAGGAGAGACCAAGCCTTCATCTGGAAAAGCTACAGCACTGGGCAAGACACAGGCAAAGTGGAAACCTTCTGGTGCTGGCGGTGAGGCCAGGATGCCCTGCCTCAGGTTTTAGCATATCTGGATGTTCCCAGTTTAATTCCATCCATGTTCAGTGAGCACATACCATGTGCCAAGAACTGTGCTAGGCTCTGAGTGGAAGGAGGGTGAAGGAAATGTAGAAATTAACAAGGCAAAACTCTTACTCTCCAAGTAGCTTCCTTCTACCTTTGGAGAAAAGGTTTAGGTAAGTAAACTACAAGATGAAACAGGAAAAAAAAAAAAAAAAAGGTATCTGATTTATTTTTAAATATCACTTCTTTCATTGCCCTTGATAGACTGCTTTCCTCTACCAGGCATTCATCCCAATTACTGATCTTAAAAGAAGCAACATTGTGAGGAGTTCAGAGAATCCTTGATAGTCCCCACTAAATTACCCTGCTCTGGCCTCCAGGTAAGCCAGCTATGGCTGGCAATCGTTATGGTACCCTTTACTATCTCAGTCGCCTGCTTGAACTCTGCTTGCCACATGGCCACAGCACTGCCAATTTGGCCCGGAGCCTCGGTAAGACCACCACAAGGGAAGGTGGAAGAAAGGTCCTGGGGACCCCTCCCTTTAGAACCAGAGTTCACCATTTGCCCTTCTTACAATTTAGGGTCTCCTCACTGGAATTATCACCCTTGAGCTCCGGAGAGCACCTTGCTCCTGGAAGGTGAGAGGGAAAGAGAATACAAGTCTGTCCTCCCAGGGCCCCAAATATATACACACACCTCAGCCCAGAGAGTCTCAGATGTTTGTCCCTGACTAAGAAAGGAAGAACTAGACAGCTGGTGGTCCTATGTAGGGAAAGAGGAGCAGAATTTTGTTTAGTTTCGTTTCTTTCTGGTGCTGGGGCTTGAACATGCATACACTACCCCAAGCTACAGTGCCACCCTTTCTTGTTGTTTTCCAGTAAGTTACTCAGGATGGCCTTGAACTCATTCTGTAACCCAGGCAGGCCCTGAATCTTCCTGCCTCAGCCTCCCAAGTAGCAGGGATTAGAGGTCTGTACCACCAAGTCTGGCTCTGAGTTTTGTTTTCAGCTAGGTTGTAGGTGGGCTTTGAGCTTTGTATGAGTCCCAAAGCTGGTCAGGACAGCTGGCTGGCTCACTGGCAGAGGCTGGTCAGGACTGAGCAGTATGGCCCACTGGCAGGTGCGGGCCATGATGATATCCAACACCTTCAACCTGATCTTGGGTTTCATCGTCCTGGTGGTAGAAGTGATGAAGACAGCCTTGGGGCCTGCTTCTACTCCTCCTCCCCAGGTACTGGGGAATGAAGAAGACGGTGGGAAGAGAAGACAAGAGATGGAGAGGAGAAAGGGCAAAGGAAAATAGGTACTGGATCCCCTCAGGCCTCCTTGTCTTCCTGCAGTTGGCAGGTTTGCTCGTGCTGGAGCTCAGTGCTGAAGCCTTCACCCTAGGGGGGGTGCTGACCTCAGCATACGCCCTATTCTTGCTGAGCCAGAGGAAGCCAGGATGCTTCAGGTCAAGTCTGCATTACCAGGAGCTGCAGGAGGTACTGGGTGCATGAACAAAACATAGGCCAGCTAGCCTTCAGCTACTTCTCCTATAGGCTGTTCCAGGCAGTGACACTAAAGGGAAAACAATGGGGCGGTAGCGAAATGAAGGGTCCTATGTTGAAACTGATTGGTTTTCTGGCATTAGACATTCATCCCCTAATGGTGGTTATGATGGAATTGGGTATTTAGTGATTGGGGCTACAATAGTAAACGTGAGATCGTTAAGATGCCGTAATGTGTATTATTGGAAGGCTTCAAAGGAAATCTGAGAAGGGGGATTAGCTTATGTCTGTGGTTTCTGCTTTTTTAGCCCCTAAAATTTATTCACATCTCTGTTTTCAGAGCCCTTCTGAAGTGGAGGAGGTTCCTGGTTTAGAGAATGGTCCCATGGTGGCTACAGGAACAGATGAGTGAGCAGTCAAGACAGGTGCCACTGTCCTTCTCTGCCACGGGAGCATTCTCCAGGCGCTTCAGCATCCTGTCCCGAAGTCCTCCTCCCCAACTCAAACTATAACTTCGACTCCCTCGAGATATGCATGAAGCACGGAGGAGTGCCCTCAGTTTTCACTCAAAGCAAGCCCATTTCTCTTCTCTTTCCCACCAGAGGAAGGTAGTATCTGGACCAGCGACCACCCTCACCTCATCCCGTCAGGCTGCTTCCTCCCTTACATTCTTCGCCTTCTTCCTCCCCGCCTCTCCAGTTCACATCTGCCTCATCTCACTGTTTTCCTCTCTTCACCTTCCACAATCCCATCCAAGCTCGGGTCCTGCGCCCGCCAGCCCGGAATCCGCGCCAGGGGTGCTCCAGTTCCCCCTCGGATCCAGGACCTGCCTGATCGACCGGGGACTACAAATCCCACAATGCCCCGCTGCCCCGTGACCTACTGGAAAAATAAAGGGCCTTCCCTCGGCGGCGGGGGCGCTGTGCATCTGCTGAGTGACGCGAGGCGCTGGGAGTCGGGGCCTAGCCGAGTTCCCTCGGACGCGACCACTGGCCCCGCGTGCGGGGAGGAGCGGGGAGGAGCCGGGCGCGCCGTCCCGCGCAGGGGCGCCGCTACCGGGGCCGCGCGGCGAGAGCCGACTGTGGGTCCCCAGCGCCCCGGGTCGCGGCCGCCGACGCCGGCAGAGGCGGGGGGAGGCGGACACCGGGCAGAGCCGAGCTGCCCCAGGTGCCGCCGCCGCGCCCCTCGCGTGAGGGCCCAGGTTCAAAGTCCTGAGACTCGCAGCGCGCGCGAGAAGGGTTAGAGATGATGAGTCAGAGGCGCGGGCCGTCCTCGCCCCCTCCCCCAGCCTAGGCGCTGGAGGCCACTCGGCCGGCAGAGGGAGGGACGCGGCTACCCGAGCTGAGACTTTCCCGCCTCTGGCGAGCACGCCGGGGCCGCGAGCCCGCGCCGCCGCCGCCACCCTCGCCGAGGCGGGAGCTGCACTGCGCAGGCTCAGCCTCTAGCCGCTCCCCGGGGCCTCTGGTCCCTGCTGCCCTCGCGGCTGAGACGCTGCTTGCACTCTGCCCACACCACCTAGTGACCTGCGAGTGTAGATGACAGGGTGGGCTTGCAAGCCCGGGATGACTGGGAGTCCCGATAGCACCAGCTCACTAGCTGCTAGGAAGTAGAAGTGGACCAGAGCTGGAGTACCGAGAGAACTCACCCCAAATTCACATACTGCCCAGGATGGCTGTTCGCCTCACATCATTTTTGTTCCCACTTGAGAAGGCTTCTTTCCCTAGAGAATGCTGCTTCTCCGGGCTCAGGCCAGCCCAGGTACCAGTGAGGAGAGAGCGCAGCCTGGCTGCCTGGCCCTGACATTGCAGTGGCGCCAGCTGCAGCTCCTTTCTGTTTGTGACACCTTGGGAGTGGTAATAGTCGCCCTATGACAAAGTTACGTGTGAGTATTAGTGGGAGGAGACAGTTGTGGAATCGGGCTCTGGAATGGAGAGAACACGATCTGGGCCTCCTCCATGTCTTCTCTCCCCCAATCAAACTGCAGGGATAATGGAGGGCTCCTGGGCGAAGGGCTCTGAGAAAAGAATAATTTTCTTCAAAGTCAGAAGGTGGTGGCCAGTGAAACTGGGGAGGGGGGAATCAACAATTTGCCCGTCTTCAAGCTCTTAAGTGTTCTGAATTCTGGATACTGCATTTTGGGTTTGTTTTTGTTTTTGTGTTTTGTGGTTTTTTTGACACAGGGTCTCCCTGTAGCCCCTGCTGGCATGGAACTCACTATGTAGACCAGGCTGGCCTTGAACGCACAGTGATCCGCCCATCTCTGAGTGCTGGAATTAAAGGTGTGTGCCTCCCGGGCCAACGGAGTCTCAACATTTTGAGAACCTACTGTGTCTCCATGAAATTTACCATCCCCCATACACCATACACATCCCAAGTGTGGAATGAGCATGAAGAATTGTTATGGACTCTGTCGTGCTCTGCCTCAAAGGGACACGTGTCGCTTCCATTCACAATTCATTGACCAAAGCAAATCACAGCCTCACTCAGTCTCAAGGGAACAGGGAAGGCTGTCTCTCACATGTGTAGAAGGAAAGCAAGAAACTTCATTAAAGGAAAAGGTTAGGAATTTGTGGTGATTCTTGAATACTTCAGCAGTTCAAATTCATCTGTTAGCAAATTATACCCATACCTACCTTGGTTTGATTCAATGAACTTCTACGTGAAATTCTTTTTTTTGAGACCTTGTCTCACTATGTAGCCTTGGTTGTCTTGGAACTTACTATGTAGACCAGGCTGGCCTTCAACTCAGAAAAATTCACTGGCCTCTGCCTCTGGAGTCCTGTAATTAAAGGCATGTGCCACCATGCCCAGCCCATGTGGTTTTTTTTTTTTTTTTTTTTGGCTTTTAAAAATATTTTTATTTATGTGTTGTATATGAGTGTAATTCCTGCATGTATGTAAGTGCACCCATGCTGTGCAGGCCCCACAGAGGTCAGAAGAGGGCATCGAATTTCTCTGGAACTGGACATTTGGCAGTCACCATGTTGGTGCAGAGCATCAAACCCAGGTCCTCTGCAAGAGCATCCAGCACTCTTAACTGCTGAGCCATCTCTCCACACTTTTTTTTTTTTTTTTTTAATGATTTGAGACAAGGTCTCCTACTTAGAAGAAGCATATCATTACAACACAATTGACATATTCAATAACGTTTTCCTGAGGTAGGATGCATCTCTTTCAAATTTGGCTGTAAATTTTTAGGTTTACAGTTGAATTATTACAGTTATACAATATTGTACTCAG